TTGGGTGGTGCACCCACGCCCCCTCCTCCTATTGGGTAACCGCGCTGCTCGTCCGTCCCCCCCGCGTTGGGCATGCTGGGAGTTGTAGTCCTGCAGCGGGCGAGCTGCGTGTGGTCGTGCACGGGTGTGCACACGCGTGTGCAAGGGCGCGGGGGAGCGGGTGGAGGCGCGGACACTCGTGCGTGTGCGTGCATGCGTGGGATCAGGTGCTTGGGGCGGGCGTGCACATCGTGCACATGCAACAGCATGCAGACATACGCAGGCGTGTTCACGGGGTTGCGTGTGTGTGCACGCGTGTACGTGTACATGGATGTTCAGACGTGGGCGTGTAGCTCCACGCATGTGTTTGTGGGTTCATGTATTTCAGGGAAGGTGGGTGTATGTGGGGAAGGGTGTGCAGGGCACACACATGTGCCAGGGTGGGCACGCATGTGCGGGCGTGTTTAGGGGGGCATACAAGTGCCAACATGCATGTGCATCTGAGCACAGGTGAGCACACATGACTACCGACATGCATGTTCGTGCGGGTGAGTACGTACATGTGGGCACCCTCATGTGCAGGTGGGCACACGCGTGTGCACGTATACACATGACTACAGGTGAGCACACGCGTGTGGGTACACATCCTTGTGTAGGGGTGTGTACGTGCAAGTGCTGCTGGGCACACACATGTGCCTGTGCCTGTGTGTGCGGGCACACGCATGTGCAGCAGGTACATGCAAAGTACACGTGTGTCCGTGCGCGTGCAGACCCTGGCCGTGATTCCACCGGCTCAGATTTGGTTCCCGGCACTGTGAGCGCGGTGAAGCCGCTGACGTGATTTCCTCCCTTTCTGGTATTGCTACGAAAATGCAGGAAACCGGGGCGGGGGGGGACACGACACACACCACGACGACAGTGACAGGAGCTTTTGGGGTAAAAAGCGCCTGATTTGGGGCCAAACAACTCAAGCTGGCGTGAACAAGCTGTATCGCACCAAAGCAGGCGGCGGGTGAGCTTTGTGCCAGTAATTTGGGCAGCCGAAGGTGACGGCTGAGCTGTAATTATGTGTTTAAAGCGCTAATAATTAACGGTGCTTTCGCGGCGGGGGCGGCACTTTCCTGGCGCTGTCGAGAAACCGCAACATTGCTCCACGAAAGCCGGGCCGGAGCAGGCTGAGACTGCCCAAACTCATCCCACCCGCCGCTCCACCACCTGCCAACCCCTCAGTGCCCCTTCAGGGCTCATCCATGTGACCCCAATTTTTTGACAGTTTAGGCCCAAATTCCCAGTTAGTGGAGTTCCGGTGTCGCCGGTCGGCCCCGAGCGTGGCAGAGGTTGGAGCGAAGGGCCGAGCGTCACGGCTAGGAGAATGGGCGGGGGAGCTGCCCAAAGCCATTACGGCGGGTGAGTAATGGGTTGAAGTCATCCCTTCCCTGGCCCGCGCCGCCGCCGGGAGTGAAAATAACCCCCTTACATCACCCAACACCAGGCGAAGGGACCCACCGGGTGCTGGGGAGGGCGGTGGGAGACGGGGTTTGGGGTAGGTGGGGATGGGCACAGGTGAGAGTGTCCCCGTGGGGTTGGGGTGGGTCCCCCTTTTTCCGCGGTTTTGGGATTCCCACCCGCCGGATGGTTTCCCGGCCTTGCGTGTGCCGAGTTCGGCCGGTCTCAGCTCAGCAGTGGCAGGATGGGGTGAGGTGGGGTGGCGAGGGGGTGGGACACGTGGACTGTGGATGGGGGTAGGAACACCCCCACCCCA